AGGCGCTTATGTCTAACTCAATCATCAATCCAAAGTTTATTTAAGTTTCATCTTCTCCTTACTTTGTCTTAATGCCAAATAGTATTTTAGATAGATATGTTTTCACGCAACTACAGATTTTTTGGGTGGTGATAATTTTTGGGTCAAAAAATGTCACTTTTTGCTTTATTTTTCTCCCTCTACATCTACGCCCCATCAATTATATGGGTTTATTGGATAATAATTTACCGCCTATATTGGCAAATAACTATTTTCTTCCTTAATTATATTGTTTCTATGCTTAATTATTCATTCCTAACTTAATAATTCATCTAACACAATTCCACAAATGACTGTTGATAGCAAAACGGCACTATAAAATAAAACCTCAGTTGTCATTCCCATGGGTATCAAAAAACTGTCTGTTTATTCGATCATTCCCTTTCCTTTAACCTTCTGTTGGTCGTCTAAAATTTTATACCTCTGCAGTTATATTATATTAGGAACCTTATTGCTTGTGCATTTGGTATCACTTTCGAACTCTCGATTAATTTATATCTGGTAGCCGTTTGCGGCAATAATAAAAAAGCTGTTTTACTATATTCTGAAGAAGACGCCCATTCGAAAATATATTCTAAATAAAATACGCCATTAACGAAGTCGTTTTTGGGCACACTAATGTTTTTCTTGATTTATTTCTCTTGTTAGGGAGCTTGTGCTGTAAAAGACTGGATATAAATGTAATATCCATACTAATATTATAAATGTGAAAGTGAGTTTGTTTGTTTGTCCTTCTTTCCCGATGAAACGAAGAGACGGATTGGCGTGATTTTTTGTGTGGTGATAGAGAGCTGGAGAATGACTTTTTACCGCATGAGATTATCTAATTCCCATGGAAAAACACGTTATAATACAATCCAAAAAAATATTTATGATCAGAATTACTTCAACCTTGATATTAATGCGCTTCAATAAAATTAAATAAATACGTGTTTTAGCATTTTTCGAAATTCATTCTATAAGGGGGTATATAATAATTGGGGATGAAAGTTTGTATGAAACTATCTTATTTAGATATTTTTTGTAGTTTTAATGCGAGTGAAGCCGCGGGTTCTGCTAGTATATTATATTTACTCTATAGAGCTATAGCAAGTAACTGCTACATGCAACCTGTATGTCACTTCATCAATAGAGACGGTGTCAAGAATCGGTGGTGAATAAGTTCTTATATGTAAATTACTGTCTTTAATAGAGAATATTCTATTGAGTTACAGTGGCTTCAGCTAGCAGTGTGGACTACGATAATATAACACTTACTATTTATCCTAAGAATAAGGAATAATATAGGCAGAGTATCATAGAACTAAACATGAAGACAACGAATAATGTTTTAAAATAATACCTATGTATATATTTTAAAATGGTATACAAATGAAAATTTGTATACTGAGTAGGTAATAAGTAAAAAAATATAGTTCAAAAAAACTAAAAAAACCGAACTAAAAATAATAATAAAGTGATTAACAAGAAAATTAATGTTATTGTGAAAAAAGCGTGAGGTGCTTTGCATAATATTTTTATACTAACTCTATGACTCGACGACACGTTTTGCTCAGTTTGTAGTGACCCTGCTTGCTGTGCCAGCGGTCGCGGGTTCGAGTCCCGCCGGGGGCAATCATTTGTTGAGCACGAATGTTTGTACTCCGGTCATGGATGTTTATATTTATAATATGTATGTATTTAAAGTTATATATGTGTAGTTTATCAACTATCGAGTATCCATAACACAAGCCTCGTAGCTTACCATGGAACTAGATGGTGCTGTGTGTTAATGTCCCAACATATTTATTATTATTATTATTATTATGAAATCGTACCAATAGAATATTTTATAACAACTGATATCGAGCACCTTACAACTACATAAATATATGTAAATACTTTATTCTTATACTAAAAATTATTTATTTAATTTTTAATTCGGTTCATTATTAAAGCGTGTTTTTAGTGGTTTTTTAACAATAATTTATTTTCCATTTTTTAGTTTGATCTGCTATAAACTCTTTTTTATTTATTTTTTTAATAAATTATATGGTACTTGTTAAATGTGCAGTTTTATTTCAATCTGAAGTTTTGAAGTGGGTGAAAATCGCGTTCAAAGATTCCATTAGATAGACAGATAGATAAAGGTGAGGATTATTTAAAAGGTGAAGCTAATAAAAGCGTGTTAATAAATGTTAATAAATAAAAATTGCTAACGGATTTTATTACAATAAAGAAAAAAAACAAGTTAATGTTATGCTATCTTCTTTTTAAGCGGAAGGGAACTAAAAAATACAAAAAATATAGTGCTATTTTTATTATTCTCAAATATTGTATATTTATTCTACTAATACATATAAAAATTACGTTATTTTTTCTGACTTTAACATTTATTTTGCCAGACTCCGTCTTTATTATATTTCTATAGTCTGAATTTTTAGTATATCAGTACTCGAAATAAAAAGGCCACGTTCAAAAATGTTTTAATCGAACATAAGAAACTTAGATAGTACTTTACTTTGTCTTTTCTTTACTCAAAACAGATGAATGAATCACTTTGTTATTTTCCGGTCCACATGAAGACTCCAGGGTACTAGAACTAAAGAACCTAACAACAAGTCCTCTGAAGAACGGATACTAGGAAGGGCGGGATACTGGGAGTACATATTATTAATATTTCAGTACATCTATATAATACATACTCGTATATAAGACAAAGTCTTCTTTTAATTTTTTATATATATTTAATTTTTTGGATTTCTCTTAGTCCGGAATAGGATAATAAGTATTAAAACAACAGAAAAATTAACGACAAAAAATTTAAAATTTATGTTGATAACGCTGGCTAATAATTCTTTATATCTATTTAAAACGTATCTAGCGATGAACCCAAACGAAACGAGGGTGAGGCGCTAGTATAATTTAAAAAAATATATATATCGTATTTTACAATGTATTAAAAATATTCCAAAACTTATGTTCATAGAGACATTTTAGAACCTACCTAATTGTATTTCTTATATCAAACATTTCTACGGCCATAGTAATACTTTACACTTTTTGTTCATCTGGAAATCGTTAGAGCTTGATAAAAAAATACTTTGCAGTTCGCTGGTTTCAATTTTGATTACCGGATTAATGTTGATAGTAAATTGCGAATTGCGATGAGATGTTCTTAGTTTAATATTCGTAACGCGAACGGGATTGATAGACTAGGCATATAATGTGTGAAAACATCCAGATTTTCCTCTCTTTTTGCTATATTACTGCTTGCTTTATAATATACTAGCGAATCACCCTCGCTTCGCTCGGGTTCATCCCTAGCTGGGTTCCCCATACAAACTTTCACCTCCTTAAGGGATGATTTCCGGGATAAAAAGTATACTATATCCTTCCCAGGGTATCAAACTATCTTCTTACCAAATTTCATCTAAATCGGTTCAGTAGATCCAGAGATTACCCCCTACAACGTCACAAACTCACAAACATTACCACTTAATAATATTAGTATAGATCAATATATAGAAAAGCTTATTATATTATAAGCTTTGGTTATACATAGAATGGCAAATATGCAAGAATTTTTCACAGAAATACGCAACGTTACAAAGCAGTTGTAAAATGCGGGCGGGGCGAGCTTGCCACCATTCCTCAGTCATCGCATATAGTAAAAGTTAAAGGTCTTTGTTGTATTTTTATTCATGTTCACGTGGCATTTTTATAAATTAAATTAACTAGCTGTAATTTAATCTTAAAAATTTTAATTTTCATTCTGAAATCTCCGTACATACAATTATATATATGTATGTATTTCTTGAACGCGCAGTGAATTAATACATAAAACTCTGAAACTATCTGTTTCATACTTCTGAATAATATAAAGTTAAACTTTTTATTATGATATAGATCATAGGTTCAATTGTCGCTCAATGCAATTTTTTATATTCATTATTATACACAGATACCGCACTTAGCACGCAATATATAAAATAAAGACAAAGATGACTGTCCGTTCCCTATGTACGAGTTTGTAGGTTCTCTCTATTGTTTTCATAATAAATTATCGGAAATACAAAAACTCAAAATTTTTCATTTTCTTGTAACGTTCATCTGATTTTAGCTTACGGCGACAATTTCACTAAGACTAACAGCGCGGGTCATTTTATACTCGTAATATACAAGTGTATGCGCAGATATAAGTGCAATTAGCAATCTCTATTCCTTTTAATCATACACTCTAAGGGACTACAATTCGACACAAGCGATGATGGATTCGATAAAGAGATTTTTCCTGTAAACTGTAAGTAAATCTTTATAATTTGTATTTTTATAGTTTCAGTCATTTAAACTGTGACATCCCGTAAGATAGAAATGAAAGTAATTTTCTATAACACGTTTTTGAATTTTGTTTTGTTTAAAGAAAATGTAATTTATGTATGATGAACGTTTCTTACCTTCATCAGCTTAAGCGATTACCTTTTAAACGTCTTTTAATTTCCTGTTATCAATACGTAAGTTAATGACTCATTATAATTCAAGTTGTAATTATTACGGTGGTTTAATTACTAAAATTTTTCAAATATATGTTGAAAGTGATATCATTTTTTTGGAGATCAGACAATTCAAAACTATATTTTAGAGACTTTTGAAACTGGATTATAAGAATTAATTTTTAAAGACATGGATCTCGTCATTTACAACAATATAAATTATAATTATATTATACTTATTTTTTTTATTATATTATAATTATATATTTTTTAATTATTGCCGAATTTGAATTTTAATTATATCTGTCTCTGATTTATTTATTTAATAGTAATATCAACAGTATACATATTTATTTATTTATTTATTTATTTATTTATTTATATCAACAGCTTATTGTACAATAATATGCAGCAATATATCACACATTTTTTATGGTACCTAATCTTATTTTACAAGTTAATTTCAGTTATAAAATATTTCTGACTTACCTTCTAAAGTCATGAAAATAGCAGCACCCATTATACTGTATAACACCAAACACAAAGTCAAAAAGAAATGCGTGAACCACTTCTTAGACAGGATCTTCAATTTATTGTAGAACCAAAATGCACTTTTCTCACCCACACTTAAACCACTCTTCGCTGTATTCATTGTAAAGTCCTTAAAACCCTCAAATTGCTTGAACATAAAATCTGATGCTTTATTTGAGTACATATGCATGAAAGGATTCATATGATGATCAGATATATGGGAAGCTGGAGTAACAACGGGCTTTCCATAGTATTTGGTATTAGTTGGACCCCAATATATTGAAGAAGACGTGTTTGGACCACGATATTGACCAGGAGTTGGTATTTGCAGAGTTATCTTGGGTGCATCAAACCGTTTTAGGGGTGGAGGCGGTGGATGGCTAGGAGGTGCATCTATTTTATCCATGTTTAGTTTAAATTTTACTTATTGAGTATAATTGATAAACAAATATCACGAACACGTTTTTTTTTCTTTCGGATACACAGTGTTATTATGTTCTCATTAGACGTCCGCGAGTGCTCAACGTTGCTGGACACTGCGTATAAATAAACTGGGTTTAGCGAGCATCCCGTGTGTCTATCTATCGTTTACGCCTAAATCTTAATTATTATTATATCATAATTACAGGAAATCGTTTGAGAGCAATTTTCCTGAGAAAAAGAACTTTCCGCATAAAGCTCTAACATACAGTTGCTCTCAATTCGTAATATTTTAAATAAGCATTATATTTTTTTTGAAATAACACAGATATGTAAGGTTTTTTTGATATGAGGTTTCTCATTATATGCTAATATTAGTTACTTATACATTATAAATATTATTTGTAAAATAAACATTTTATTAATTTTGCAAGGTTGAATAGAAATGTACAATTGTATTCCTCCTATTACTAGGTACTGTAGGTACAATACAAATATTCAAATAAAGTATAATAAATGATTTATTTATTAACATTGCACTCTTGACAGCTTTTGATATCAACATATAAGACCCAACGTATTTTTTTTCAGCAAATTAAAATATCGCAGGCATCATTTGGCAAGCCTAGATAATAAATAGCAAAAATCAAATTCTTACTAATTAAAAGACAAAGAAATGAATTTACAATATTAGTAAACATAATGGGACGGGAGTCTAGTATAATGTAACCTAAGCCTAAGAAGGACAAATGCACGAAAACAGATCCATGTCAAACGGCTGTCGAGTTTTATTCGATATAATGTACATATTCTTATAAATTAATTTATTATATCAATATTCACTTTTAAAAGCATTATTGCAATCGACTCATCCGCTGAGTGTTCATGTGAAAGGTTATTGTCATGAATACATTTATAATGTTGATTTTGGAGACATTATTTGGGTGTTGCGTTCGTCATTCCCTGATACTACCACGAAGTCCTACGTCAACTCGAGCTTGTATGACTCAATCGTTATTTAAATTATATGAAAGTGTTATTATAAAGAGTTTTATTTTTTACACTTATATATTTATAGTAGGGGAACCCAAGAGGGGATTTTCTGTAGTTACTCGAGCGCGGCAGATTAACATAAAAGAGGTTACCTTGCACTCTATTGAGTACTTTCACCATAATATAAGTCTTCTATATAAAGGGGCGCGTCTAGGGAAGCCGATTAAAATATTTAAAAAATGTTTTGATACGGTAGAAATACTTGAAACCGTCAGATTAAGGTGTGGTAGGCTAGTCACATCCTGAAAAGTGTCCAATTCAATAATCTGCCGATTTGCACAAGCCGAAGAGGCAAAAATCGACTATAAAGTTTATGATGATTTTTGCCTCTTAGGCTTGTGCAAATCAGCAGTTTATTAAATTGGACACTTTTCAGGATGTGACTAGCCTACCACACTTTAATCTGACGGTTTCAAGTATTTCTACCTTATCAAAACATTTTTTAAATATTTTAATCGGCTTCCCTAGACGCGCCCATTTATAGAGAAGACTTATATTGTGGTGAAAGTACTCAATAGAGTGCAAGGTAACCTCTTTTATGTTAATCTGCCGCGCTCGAGTAACTACAGAAAATCCCCTCTTGGGCTCCCCTACTATTATTGATACATTGGTTTAATAATAAATATGATATTATGTATGGTTCAGCACACCATCGTGGTGAACTCCACTATATATGTACCTGATTAACTTCAATTTAATCTAACTAAACTATGCTAGTTTTGTCTAAAATAAAATAACCAATCAAAGCCCTTGCTTATTTGTTTGTGAACAAATACACATATTTGTTTGAGTTTGGCGACACAGGTTCTGATTCAAAAATCGTCACATCACATTTCTCTAGTTTTTTTCTCTTCCGTGATTTAGAGTGTCACGAGGCACCAAAATAAAAATAAAAATTACAATTACTCATCAAAACCGTCGTAGAAGATATGGTCATATAATTAGAAAAACTCTATACGTATAGCACAAAATTGTTAAGAGAGTCATCATCATCCTTTTGTCCATTTCCCAAATTACTTGAGATCGGTACAATTTGTCTATTCTATTGCTGATCGGTTTTGGCACAAGTTTTACGATCGGCCGCCTCTTTGGGGATTTAAAGTGTTAAGAGAACGACCTGCTATTAATTACCTGGAGGACTACTCTGTCCAGTGGGGAAGCTGTGGCTGTAAAAAGTCAATTTCGTACAAGTACTATGTAGTAGGTACAATTTCTTATAACATACAAAGTAATGACTGTATTTTATATTATATTTTTCGCTTTTCTATACGACTGTACTGCTAAAATATTTCAATATTTTCTGTTACAAATATTATTGGCATCATTCCGTGAATATGCCGCGGCGTCATCTGATGTCAACTGTGGCGCTTGCATGAGTCAACCTCTCTGATATAAAGCTGTTATAATATATTGGTTTTTGTATTGGGTCTACACCAGTACTAAAATAATTTATTTTTGTTTAACATTCCGTTTATATAAGAAGTAAACGTACATAGACTTGCATCAGACAAACATATTTAGATTTATTAGTAGGTAATTATATAAATGCGTTCACTAACTCGGTAACAGACGGATGGCACGCATTGGCCCGTCGTTAGCGTCTACGAAATTTCTCAAAGAGCAACTATTTTGGGTTGTTAGACAAGATGTCATTCTATTTGTGAATACTAGAAAACTAAAAAAAATATATGGGAACGGCATTATTATGATTCTGAATGATTTTTGTTAATTCAATATAATTTTTATAATTAATATTCTTCGTAGAATAACACCTTGTCCTAAGACCACTGATTCGTCAATCAACGCGCACCAACCAGCTGTGGTTGCCGCTATTCCGAATGCTATTGTCAAAAAATCCAATTACGACGGCCATCGTGTCGGCTATCCATTTGTTACGAAGTATATACGCTGCGAAAGACTAATCTTAATATGTATAATCCATCCAATATGTTCAATACGATTTTGGGAAAGTACATTACTTAAGTTAAAATAAATAATAATGATTTACTACCTTTCTCCTCTATAGTTTAATTAAAAACCCACTCAGCCCCATGTAATTTCCTATGTTATAAGTTTTACTTATTACTTAAACACTGGCTTTTAAAAAAATGTTAGGAGGTACATCTATGCATACGCATACCACATGTACAAATGATGGTTATGTGGCGATTCACCGGCTAGAAAAACCAGTAGGTAACTACCCACTAAAACCAAACAGTATTATACTCGTCTGGGCGATATAGAATCTCTTGCACATTCAACCACAATGCCCTGACGGTTGGCTTAACGGCACAACCACCCGGAGTTACCATCAAAGTCTACTCTTCTATCAAAAATATATTTTCTATGGACTTAGTGAAATAGTCCTTCTTAACAATTTAAGCAATCACATAGTACAAGAGAGCATCGGATTTAAGCAGCTAAAAAGCTAAATTATATTAATTACTAGCATTTCCCGCGGCTCCGCCCGCATTCAGATGACCAATAACCAAATTCTTAGGTTTTACATATTAGTTGTAGTAGTACTCTTACATTGCAGTTTTTGTATTTTTTCTTAGAAATGAGACGTTTTCCCGCGGTAACCAGCTATCACCATACCAAATTTCATCAAAATCCCGTCAATGATTTTTCCATGATGCGGTAACAGACAGACAGACAGACAAAAAATCTATAAACTATAGATTCGACCTCTGTATCGATAATAATGTCTATTTCAATAAGATTTTCCAAAAATATTTAATGTACAGATTCGACTTAGTTACAATCTATATATATAAAAGAAAGTCGTGTTAGTTACTTCGCTTATAACTCAAGAACGGCTGAACCGATTTAGCTGAAAATTGGCAGGGAGGTAGTTTAGAGCCAGGAGAAGGACATAGGATACTTTTTATCCCGTTCGACCGCGTTCCAATTTTTATGATATTTTAATTTTTGGATTTCTCTTAGTCCGGAATAGGTAAGTATTAAAACATATAATTAAAATGTGAGAAAGAAAGATTTTTTCTTTTTATATCTATTTAAAACGTACCTAGCGACGAACCCGAGCGAAGCGAGGGTGAGCCGCTAGTTTTATTATATGTATAGCTTTAATCTATCCATACCTATCAATGAAATAGACATTATTATCGATACAGAGTCCGAATCTATAGTTTTTAGAATTTTTGTCTGTATGTCTGTCTGTCAGTCTATCTGTTACCGCATCACGAGAAAACCACTGGACAGATTTTGATGAAATTTGGTATGTTCATAACTGGTTATCCGGGTCAACATATAACTTTTTACCGCGGGAAAATATCTCATTTCTGAGAAAAAATACAAAAACTGCATTGTAAGAGTACTATATTAAAATGTAAAACCTAAGAATTTGGTTTTTGGTCATCTGAACGCGGGCGGAGCCGCGGGCAATGCTATTATACAATATTTTTGTATAATATTTTCATATATTGAGTCAATACCTAAGTTTATAGTTTGTACCACAATTTTGAATACCCTTTCAAATCCCACCATTTTTATGTCAACACTTATGATGAAACAACTATATCCATGATATGTATTTCGCGATACCACGCAATTTCTATTTTTATTGGTTAGTTAAAAAGCTTCTTAGTCGGCTCGTTTTATACTTGTATTTCATCCACTAAAATATACAATTCGAAAACTAAACAAATTGTACTATGATTTTTTAGTTACTTCTTTTCTATGTAATATTTTTCGTTGATGTAGTTTTTACTGCAGAGAATGTAAATTTAATTACCTATGGTGGATAATTCAATTTCCTATTATGAAACATTTCAACATCCTCATATTTTACTATTACTAGTACCTAATGTCAATTCTGAGGGCAATAAATGGCATGTACGTTTATGATTCACGAAACAAATCATTTAAAAAAATACAAATATTTTTATTACTTACTAGCGACTCAGCCTCGCT